GGAAGGGGATGGGGAAAGGAGATGGGGGAAGGGGATAAAAGGGGTTAGGGGATGAAGAAAGGGGAAAGGGGATGGGGAAAGGGAAAAGAGGATGGAGAAAGGGGGAAGGGAAAGGGGAAAGGGGATGGGGAAAAGGGAAAGGGGATGGGGAAAAGGAAAAGGGGATAGGGAAAAGGAAAAGGGGATGGGGAAAAGGGATGGGGAGAGGAAGAGGAAGGAGGAAGCTTCCCTGTGGAATTGCAGAGGAGACCTGTGCAGGAATCCCATAGCAGGGGAAAAAGAGCCCATTCTGAAGGCAAGTAAACAAGGTGCATTTTGCCAAAGCAAGCCCCAGTCACAACAGTTTGGAGCTGTTTTCTGTTTCCCAGCCTGACCACAGGAATGTCTGTAACACGCAGAGTTTTTTCCATAAACTGGAAGGTTTGGGGTTAGCTCATTGTCACCACTTTGTCTCTTCTGCCAGGTGATGCCAGGTGAGCTGCCAAGCCACAGGGGACAGGTCAGAGGTGCAGCTGGAAGGAGCTGGTGCTGGTCAATGCAACAATCGTTAAACACAGATAATAACTGGACCCAAAAAAACGATCACATCACTTTCTTTGTTGCCTTTCCCTTGCAGGTTCACCCTGCAACTCACCAGGGGCAATAGCCACACATGGAGCTGTTTGTTTTTCTCCAATCCCTTTACAAACAGGCGTGGATTAAGCCCCAGAACTTCGCCACAAGTGTCAGCAAACTCTTCCAAAGTAGGGATAGGATGCTTTGGGAAGAGCTGGGCACTCCAATTCCCTCCTGCCACCGAGGCAGGAGTGCCCAGGTGCCACCCAACACGCTGCTGTTAGTGTGGGAAGTGATAGGTATTACAGCACCGTTCACATTGTATCAGTCATTGGAAGATTTCCAGACTATCATTCCCATCCCAAGCCAACAATTCCTTCCCTAAACTAGGCTGAAAACCCTGGGATTGCCTCAGTTTTGACAGCAGCCATCACTGCCCCATGGGGAGATGTTTGTACAAGAATCTAGAGGTGCTTCCCTAGGAAAATCCAACCTCGGAGATGTGATGAGCTCTGCTCCCCTCCCACTCATGCTCATGCTGTGACTTGACTGCAACTGGGCTCCATTTAATAATTACCATCACCCTGTAATTAGCACTTGCTGTTTTCCCCTTTGTTAGGGTTTCCTGGGGAGGGGGAGAAGCTTCTCTGCCATGCCAGGGAGCAAAGGATGTCTCGGATTCGAGGCGACACGGATCGCAGGGTGATGCTGTGATGTTTAACCAGGCACTGATGCAAACACCTTTCCAAAGTCACCTGTCACAGCTGGAATGAAACGCTGAGGCTGTTCCTCCCTCCAGTTATCAGCCACAAACTCCCAGAGGCTGATTAGGGAGCACAGAGGAGCGAGAAGGGCTTCTAAAGAGCCTTTGTTATTGAAATGAGGCAGCAAGGGAGGCACGGCGGAAAGATCCTTAATGAATGGGGGAGGAAGGGAATTAGAGGGATGAAACAGTCTAGGAAAAGGAGGATCTGACTGCTGGAAGATGCGGTGGAGGCACAGCAACCAAAACAATGTTCTGGCTGATTTTCTCTACTTCTGAAGAGCTCAGATGCTTTCATTCCCAAAGGCTCCAAGCAAACAGCTCAACATCCAGGGGTTAAATACAGTTCCTATCCATGCCAGGCTGTCCTCAGCTGGGCACGTCCCAGCTCAGAGAGGTTGGATCCTGCTCCTGGGCCAGAGCCTGTCAAACCATCCCTGCAACACACTCCAGACAAGCTGCTCCCCAGCACAGCCTGGGGGCTCCAGGAAAGGTGGTTGTGTGTGTGTGTCTGTGCAGACCTGCAGGACAATCTGCCTGAGCAGCAGACACAGGCAGAGGTGAGTTATCCTGCCAAATCCATCACCTCCTTCCTGCACAGCAGGCTGGGGAGGTGGGTTTGTCTGGCTAAAGGCTCCATCCCACTGAGCTCCAGGCAGGATTCCCAGCTCTGCCAGCATCCAGTGAGCAGTTGGGTTTGGCCAGTGCCCATTTACCAGCCTTGGGCCAGTGAGAGTTGGGTTTGGCCAGTGCCCATTCAGCTATCTCAGGCTGGTGGCCACAGGACACAGACAGTGGCCAAAGCAGCCTCTGTCCCCACAGGCTCAGCTGGTTTTTATTTCATGGCCACAGAGGAGAGGCTCAGCAGACCACACAAGTCTTTGCTTTCTCAGCTCAAGTCATGAGGAAAGTGGAATTCCACCCTTGACATTTATATCTTCTGCAGAAAGTGTTGGGGTTTTTTTTTTCCATTGGTCAACTAGAGAAAGCAGTAACACAGATCTCACCTGGGTTGGATCTGAAAGTGAGCTACAAAAACACTTGTCCTCACCTGGAAACCCACTCTGGCTTATTCCACACTTGGTAATGCAAACAGAGAGTGCAATATCCACATTATCCTCAGAAAACAGCAACTGCAATAGTGTCCTGGCTCCTACCTCTCCTGGAGACTGTCCCACCACCCTTTTCCCACCCTGGTCTCAGTTGCAGGTGCTGCTGGTGAAAGGTGTAATCTTCACCAGGGAGATGGCAGCATCACACTCCATGGGCACTGCTGCAGGCAAGGGGTTGGGAGAGGGAGAGGAGACCTGAGACACCTTGTCTGAGGACACCTCGTTGTTCTCCATCTGCAGAACAGCATGGGGGAGAAGCTGTGGGTAGCTGAGGGTCACCAGTTCCTTCTGGAACTGGTGTGTGGAGTCCTGGTGGTAGGAGACCAACTCATTGCTGAAGGTCACTGTCTCCACTGCATTGCTGGGACAGCCACAGCCCAGGATGGTGGCAAAGGCTCTCCGAAAATCTGCGTTGAAGGCATAGATGATGGGATTGAGGGAAGAGTTGGCCCAACCAAACCAGACAAAAGTGTTGAAGACAGTCTCACTGACACAGGGCAGCTCTCCTGGCCCGCGGAGGTCAGCGCTGCAGAAGGGCACGACGCAGTTGAGCACGAAAAAGGGCAACCAGCAGAAGACAAAGACACCCATGATGATGGAGAGGGTCTTGAGGACTTTAGTCTCCTTCTTGAAAGAGTTCTTCAGGGAGGCTTCGTGAGGGCTGTGGCAGTTTGGGGCATGTCCCACCACCCTCTCCAAGGAGGAGATCCTGCGGATCTGCCGCCGGGCGATGCGGAAGATGAGGCTGTAGGTCACCAGCATGATGGCCACGGGGATGTAGAAGCTGATGAGAGAGGAGGAGATGGCATAAGTCCTGTTGAGGCTGGAATCACAGCTCTCCTCCTCCATGGAGGCATTAAAACCTGGCTCTTGTTGGCTAAGGAGCTCATGGTCCTTGTGCCACTTGAGCTGCACAGGGATGAAGGAGATCAAGAGGGACAGCAGCCAAGCCACTCCCATCATGCTGAAGGCCACACATGGTGTCACCCTCCTCTGGTAGCAGAAGGGGTTGGAAATGGCCCAATAACGATCCACACTGATGATGCACAGGTTGAGGATGGAGGCTGTGCAGCACATGATGTCAAAGGCCACCCAAAGGTCACAGAAAGAAGCCCCAAAGGGCCAGAAGCCCAGAACCTCACTGACAGCTTTCCAGGGCATCACCAGCACAGCCACCAGCAGGTCAGACACTGCCAAGGAGATAACGAAGAGATTGGTGACCTTGGAGCGCAGGTGTCGGAACTTGACCACGGCCACACACACCAGGGTGTTGCCCAGGAGGGTGGAGAGGATGAGGAGGAGGAGTAAGGCAGCTGCCAGCACAGGGAAGGACAGCTTGGAGTTGCTTTCCTCTGCCCAGCTGGTGTCATTGACCACATCCTGCCCATGTCTTTCTGCAGAGGAGTAAAGCACATCCATGGGTTCCCCTTTGTTCCAGTCCCTCGAGAGGTTCCACAGCTGGTCAAGTCTCCATCAGCAGCCAAACCCCATTTTCACTCCTCTGCCAACATCTCAGAAGCACCAGCTGCAATCCAGCCCTCACCCCCAGCACAGGGAGAAGTGCTGGGAGCTCTCACTCCTTGCCAGGTCTCCTGCTGACAGCGTTAGAATTTCCTCTCTTTCCTCCCACCCCACGTCCCTTTCTCTGAGCCTGCTGCTCCCAGAGAGCTGGCACTCACCTCCAGGAGCTGGGAAGGTTGTGCTGCAAGCTCTGCTCTCAGCTCCTCTTCATCTGCTGTGGAATCCCAGTCGATCCCTGCCGTGACCAGGCTGGACTTGCTGCCAGAAGCAAGAAGGAATCTGAGCTCTCTCTGCTCCTGCCGATGGACCTTCCCTGCTCACACACACAGCTGCTCTGCTGCCTGCTCTTCCCTCTGGTGGCACACAGGGGGGATCTGCCTCTGCCCCTCTCTGTGGAGAGCATGGGAATCTGTGCTGGACAGGGTGAGTTGCTTGGGAATTAGATAGAAGGATTGAAAGGGTGAAATAACAAACCTCCAAGTGGGATTTGAGGGGCTCCAGTGCAGGTCAGGAAGGATATTTGGTGTGATGTCTAGAAAAGACATCTCAGTTCCCCATACAGGCACTGAGTCACTGCTCAGCTATGACCCCAAACCAGTCACTGCTCTCTGTCCTGAGCTGCTCAGCTGCAGGTGGGGCAAAACTGGCATTTGCTTTCCACTGCTAAATTCCTTTCCTAGGAAAAAATAGCAGAAAAAAACACACACACACAAAAAAAATCTTGTACAAATCTGAAGTTTTTCCCTCGTGAAAGTATCACACAAAGCAGTTTCAGACCATATTTCATCAGTAGAGGTTATGTGTAGAACCACAGAGGATGCTGAACATCACTTCAATCAGTTTTTTAATCCTTAAGAAATGGGATTACCTTCAGTAAAGTGCTGCAAAGTAGCTTTTCTATACAAGTTCATCAATTTTTCTTTAAACTCCAGCTAATTCCACCTCAGCTTTCACCTCAGGGATCCACTGACAGCTGAAAACATGAACCAGAAAATCCAGATGCCTTTCCAGCCCAGCCCTGGCAGCAAAGGGGGCATTCCCAGGAGGGCTCAGTGCTGTCCTTCCCAACATTTCCTCCAAAGCACAGGGACAGGTCTGGGGTTGCAGGGAGTGGCACAGCCCCAGAGCTGGTGGGGCACAGCCTGGCAGGCAGCTGGGAATTCATCCCAGTGCCCTGGCATGGCAGAATTGGGGCTGCTCTGAGGAATGAGCAGAGTATCTCCCCTAAAACTGCTGCTCCTCCTCCCCATAAAAGCTCTGACTCCAGTCTGAGAAGCTCTGCAAGTCTCTCCCTTCTTACCTCCAGGGGAAAAACACAGGATTGGGAAGCAGGTGACCTACTAAGGCACAGTTTAGCCTTGGAGCTCCATCACTTTGTGACTTTGGAGCAAAAGGGCTCATTTGATGAAGAAATGTCCTTCAAGAATCACAGAATCATTAGAGTTGGAAAGACCTCTGAGATCATGGAGTCTAATCTATGATCTCACTGTACCATGTGAACTAGAGCATGGCACTAAGTGCCACATCCATCTCTCCAGGGACAGTGACTCCCCAACCTCCCTGGGCAGCACATTCCAGTGGTTAAAATGAACATCATTTGATGAAGAAATGTCCTTCCTGAGGTGTTCCCTTGAGGGTTAGCTCTGGCACAGCTGTTCCATGGGCACCTACTGAGAAAAGCCTCCCTGGTAAAGTGGTCAAGGTGGGAAGGAGTTTTCCAACCATCCTGAACACACAAGGAGTCAGCTCAGCACCAACTCCCTGATGGGGTATGATGATGAACTCTGCCTTGGCCTCTCACTTCTCACTCCTGATGAGAGAAGCAGCCAAAGCACACAGAGCCAGCTCTCCTGCACTTGGATTTAATCACCCTGACCCCACGACCCAGGGCTGGGATAAGCCCAGGCAGAGCAGGAACTGCCCAAGAGCTATTCCCAACAAGAGAGCAATTATTCCCTGGAAGACACAGCCCCGAGCTCACTCCTAAAGCAAACACCACGCTCGCCCGGGTGTTCGAGACACTTGTTGCCAGCATGTCACAGCATTTACTTGCGAGGGTTTTGTTTAATTAAGCCTCATTAGTTCCACCGTCTGCAGCCTGCGGCTGCCAAGGGCTTATGCCAAGGAGAGCGGCTAGATGGCACCAGCAGCAGGCGCATGGCTCAGCACATTCCCTCGGGAATTCCAGGCCAGGACAGCTCCCTGCCTGATCCTCACTGGGCTTTCAGCAGAGGGAAACCATGGAGCTGGGTCAGGGGAGGGTGAGGCTGGATATTAGGGAATGGTTGGACACTGGAACAGGGTTAGGTTGGATAGCAGGACAAGGTTCTTCCCCCAGGAGGATATTTGGGCACTGGAACAGGTTTAGATTGGATATCAGGAGAAGGTTCTTCCCCCAGAGGTGTTCGGGCACTGGGACAGGGTTAGGTTGGATAGCAGGACAAGGTTCTTCCCCCAGGAGGATATTTGGGCACTGGAACAGGTTTAGATTGGATATCAGGAGAAGGTTCTTCCCCCAGAGGTGTTCGGGCACTGGGACAGGGTTAGGTTGGATAGCAGGACAAGGTTCTTCCCCCAGGAGGATATTTGGGCACTGGAACAGGTTTAGATTGGATATCAGGAGAAGGTTCTTCCCCCAGAGGTGTTCGGGCACTGGGACAGGGTTAGGTTGGATAGCAGGACAAGGTTCTTCCCCCAGAGGTGTTTGGGCACTGAACAGCTCCCCAGGGCAGTGGGCACAGCCCCAAACCTGACAGAGCTCCAGGAGTGTTTGGCCAATGCTCTCAGGCACAGGGTGCATTGTTGGGGTGTCTGTGCAGGGACAGAAGTTGGACAGATGATCCTGGTGGATCTCCTCCAGCTCAGGATATTCCATGGTTGTGTGACTCTGCCTGGACCTTGGCAGAGCATGGACACACTCAGTCCACTGTCCTCTGTGCCCCAAAGGACATTTTCCTCCTATTCC